TGAAGAAGATGGGATGGGAATATAAAGCTCATAGTAAAGATCTATATTTTGATGGTCATGAGCGACCAGATGTAGTGAGTATCTTTTACTTTTTCATAAATTCCTAGGAATAAATATTACAAATATTTAATTGTTTAATTGTTTAATTAGATGTTTAATTGGTGAAATTGATCAAGAAAGAGATGCATCCATAAATTTGTCTGAAATAAAAGCTGCACCAATAAATGATATCTCTAAACGTTAACATATATATTTACAAATTAATATTTTCTTCTCAAAAATTAACTGGTTAATTTAACTGATCAAATTGGTTAATAGTCACATGACATCAATGAGGGAATGAATCAAATAAAAATACAGATTTATATATATATATTTTTATATCATGAACAAAATTTCTAGAATTCCGAACAGCCTGGGCCAACTTGCAGATTGACTTTTAACAATTATCATTCAATTGGGCTGTTGTTATCCCTTAAATATATATAGATTTTTTATGAAAAAACACATTGTGTCACATTCAAACTGGTGTTTAATGCCCAAGTTCAAATCACATTTTCCAAGTTAATTTGATCCATAGAACAACTCTGCTTTGTTTGTTTACTTGTTGGTTTTTGTTTTTAAAGAAGTTAAAAAAACATATAAAAACATGTAAAAACAACAAAATCACATTGTATCCAACCTGTATCTATTATTTGTGCTTAAAACACATGTACACAGATTAATTTTGACACATAAAACAACTTTTATTTAGTATTGTCACCGGAATGCGAATTGGACCTTAATTCGCTGATCAATAACCCTGAAAATCTGGAGTAATATTTTATATCTTATTTTTATATGGGGCATACTGCAACAAAACCAGACAAAGTGAATATTAATAGCAATAATTATGATGATTTTTTATTAACCAATACACAATTTACAATTATTTCATGATATTATAATGCAAATAAGGAGTAAAATCGTCTTCACTGGTGTAATATAGTACCTGACATTACAAATGCCTCCACTATTAAATTCTATTAATAATTTTTTTTTGATAAAAAGATCTTGATTTGTTGTTATTTCATGATACTATAAACGCAAATAAGGAGTAAAATCGTCTTCAGCTGGTGTAATATAGTTTATTAAGTAAAAAATCATCTTCATATCAAATAGTATAATATAGTGAAGTTTCGCCGCATATAAATAAACGTTCATTGTTTTACGAACCTTAAAAAATAAAATGAATTTTTCGGAATTTTCGAAAAAAAATCTTTAACTCGAAAATTTACCACAATGGCAGGTTCTAACGACCTTTGTGGTATAAGTAAAAAATGCGTCTTATGTTTAAATCTAGTTATATCTAAAATTCTAGAGCATTTGGTAGATTAATTAATAAGAAAAAAAAATAAAACGTAGAAAATTTTACGAACGATTCAACCTCAAACTGCTCACCAATTTGAAACATAAAAGACATCAAAAAATATATGAAACTGTTTTAAATTGATTTATATTATTAAAAAAAAATCAATATCGTGCCGGGTTTCCTTTATTTTTTAAAACAGCATCCACTCTTCGTGGCATACTATTTATTAAACCATTCCCATTTAATAAATTGAATAGTTCGGTTTTATTTTTTGTTTTGGGTTTCTCATTCTAAGTCTTCTTTTTAAATCCTGCCAGGTCTAAGAGCTGGAGTTGTTTTATTTTTTGGAAAATAATCATTAATGGTCTTTTTCGACTGCATTTTTGGATCTATTTAATATGCGAGCTATTTCTCTATAAGAAAAATCGGCTTTTTTTAAGCCAAAAATTTCCCCGCGTTCGAATTCAGATAATTGAGTAGCTTTGGTCATTTTAAATTCTCTTTAAAAAAAATAAAATGGTCGAAGTTTATCTTTAAACGAATTATTTTAAAAGATCTTCAAAATTAATTCGTTTAGAATTTTGGATATAACTAGATTTAAACATAAGACGCATTTTTCACTTATACCATAAAGGTCGTTAGAACTTGCCATTGTGGTCAATTTTCGAGTTAAAGATTTTTTTGAAAATTCCGAAAAATTCATTTTTATTTTTTTTTATTCAATTATTTCCAATGATACGCAAGTGTCCTTATTTATGATCAGTAAGTGTAACTTCTTTTATTATTAATATGTAGGTTTTACATCCCAAAATTTCACTAATTGTGGTGTACACATGAATTAATTTGTTTCTTGTATGGTTCAAGCCATCTAACACTAATATTAATATTAATATGAAAATCTGTTAAATCCGTCAAATACTGACAAGTTTTATTGTTATGACTCAAGCTTCAAAACTTATCGGCCAGTTTTTTCTTGAACTAAAAATTGGCTGAGCCTTAGAATTTTGAAAATTCCAAATTTTGTTGTATATACACTTAAAGTAGTAACAAATTTTCAAAATATTGTGATAGCAACATGAAAATTATTACATGAATTGACATCATTTTTAAAGCTGAATTGAATAGCGGTGTGGGGGGTTTTTTTTAAAGTCCAACATGTATGTGTCTGGGTTGATAAATTCCATTATTATAAATATAATTAGCATTTCTCATTGGCAACTCAAGATGCTTACTAATTACCTTGACAGTTTTTGTACAGATTACAGTAATAAAATAATTTATAATTTATATAAAAAAACAAATTATGTTTACAAAGGAGTATTGATATATATTTCGAGTAAGAATGAAGTTAATATTATAAGTTTTTTTTAATATGGTGAATGTGAACCTTATACGAAACTTCTTATCACTATTTGTAGTTACTACAATCATATTTATTAAACTGGAGAAAAAATGATGACCTTTTAATCTTTCTTTTAAAATTAGAGGACTGAAAGGCCAATAAAATACTCCAATGCATTGTAGTATTAGTGTGTAAAAAATGAATTAGCACTCAGATAAATTCAAAATGTTTAGAGTTGTATTTTCGATTGTTTCTATTCTGTTCTTTTCTCCAGTTAATTAATATTTCAAATATCATATCCTTAGCCACTACAATATTTTCTTTACTGCCAATGATCACAATTGTATCATCGTCGTTAACTTCAGGCATGTTAATCACACATTGGCTCTCTCTTCTAATATATGAAATAACTGATCCTCCGCCTCCAATGATATGTCGATGATATGTTTGAGGAATTGATAGATATCCGGTACATGCATTAACCTAACATATAATTAAAAGAAAGAAAGAGGAGTTAAGGAAGTAGGAATAAATCAATTAAAAAATTATTTCATAATTACCGCTTGTTCTAATAATTCATTTAAATATTTTATAGCTTGTTCGACTTGTCCTCTTGCACCTTTAAGCGTCCAAGAAATAAATTTCGAAACTTTTTCTTTATCATTTTCAATTCTATTTCCAATCCTTGGTTCCACCTCTTCCACCTCTTCCATCTCCTCATCCTCACCATCATCGTCGATAATTTTAAAAACAAATTTATTAACATTGAATTCATCATCATCATTTCCTTCTGCCTCTTCGATAACACCTTTGGTAGATTTTTTAAAAATTGGTCTTTTATTAATAATTGTTGAAATTTGTTTCCTTTCATTTGTTTGATGTTTAATTTGTACATTGTACATGTTTGTTAATTTTCTTGACGTTGATCCATTATCATTAATTACATTGTATAGTTTACATGGAAATTTAAACACATCTTCATATTGAAGTATTGATAATATTTCTTCTTTGGCCAATTCAACGTTTTCAACTTCTTTTCCTATTATTTTTATTAAATCATCACCTGTCAGCTCTCCTTTTCCTTTTTTCCGTGTCACTCTTATATAATTATAGAAACGTGAAGAACCAGGTAAATGAAGCTCGACATTAAACTTATTTTCAATTTTATGAAGTTGGCATCCACGCTTGCCTCTAATAACTGAATGTTCATATCTGGGAACTTTAATAGCATCAATTATTAAATTTTTCTGTGCAAAAAAAATTTGTGTTATAAATAATAATAAAAAAATAGACATTGAAATCTATAACAATATCAATTAATTAATACATACTTCTTGTTCATTAATTAAAATTTCAAATTCCTCTTTAATTTTTTCCACGAGTTCTTTATTTGCTTTAATTAAGACCACATCACTCGCACGGCCAGGAAACCTGACCATTTCAGCTTGGACACTCTTATTCTTTGGTCCACCAGCTTTTGCTATAATCTCATTGATATTATCAAACAATAAACTATGATGCCTGGGATTAATATTTATAGTGGTTACTGCTTGTTCTTCAATGTCTTTAATAATCTCCAGAATCTTATTTTGGGCCTTGATATTATCCATTTTATAACCATGCACAGTTACTTTGAAAAACCACCGATTTAGCCTGTTAATTTTAATCTTTGTAGATGTTTCAATACTGATCTCTTTGATTCTTCTTGATTTCCTGCCAACAATATGTGGCACGTATTTGGCCGGAATAGTGAAACTGAGAACATCATCATATTCTTTTATATAATAAAAAGGGTTTAATAATTCTAATCTAGCCGCACTAGTTCCTCTTTTATTACCAGTTATTAATACTTGATAAGATCTTTTTTCATCTAGATCGAGATCTTCATATTCACATTCCCTTTTACATTCTTTTTCTACGTTACTACCATCTTCACTTTCATCAATTTCACTACTAATACTAGTAGTAATGATAGCACGATTATTTTGTTTTGGAAATTGAATACGTACACCATATTTCTCTGTTAGGTTTGCAATAACTTTAGGTCTCAGTGAAGCATGATACTGCGGTGGAATAATCACACAAACAACAATTTCTCTATTTAATTTATTAACTGTGCTTAGAATTCGACTCCTGACCTTTTCAACATGAACTTTCATCCCGACTATTTTAACATAAACAAATTTGTCTTCTTTACTGCCATTTTTTCCCTCATTAAAATGTCTATTATTTATATTTATCGTAACATTATAATTATCACAGATAAATTTTATTTCTTCCTTACAAATAATATCTGAGGCATAGATTGCTAGAATTTTAAATTCTGCTGTAAATGGTTTAGTATTCTAAAATAACAATTATATAAATATATTATAGATATGGCATGATAATTATAGTCATAATATCCCTTACAAGTAAAGTAGATGTGTAATGACAAACCTCAATACGTTTAACATCTTCTACTTTTTCATTAATTTCTTCAACCTCTTTAGCAGGTCCTTTAACTACAATAGAATTATCTGAAATTTGTTGTGTGTTTAATGATTCATCATTTGCACCTGATGATTTAGACGATCCAGATTTTAATGAAACAGGTGAATATGCACCACCGCTACCATTACTACTGTCATTATAAATAATTGTATTCAAAGTATTTTTAATAATATGCTGATAATGTTTGACAGGAGCAGTTAATGTTTGAACAGAAAAATCTGATGACAAATCACATTCCATTTTTAACAATTCATTTTTCACTTTTTCCATTATTTCCATAATATAAAGTTCTTTTTCTTTCTATCAGAAAACTCCTTGTCACCCTTTCTACCCTCAAAAACTATCAATATCCCAGGGTTGGCTTCTTTTTCATCAGGAACTATTATTTCAACACCATAAGCATCTTTGATTCGTTGTAAATTTTGCTCTTTACAACCAATTACATGTTGATTAAATTGTTGACTAATCATTACCACATCAAAACAACTAGGAGGCTATTATATGTATATGTGTAGGTGATTGTGTATGCATTTGTATATATTAGTGTACTTTTTCTTTAAAATTGTTTGCTATTATTAATAAGTTCATTTTAACTCACCAAATTTTTGATTATTTCAGTGACTTCTTTTCTAGCATTTTCCACATCTTCAGGTACTTTACCCACAAATTCCATAACCAAATTCTTCATTTTCATTTCTGTTGTTGATGATGATGATGATGATGCAATATTTGGGGTAAAAATTTGCACACCAGTTTCTGATTCAATTTTCTTCAACTTGCCTCCATTCCATAAATATTTCAAGACATTAATAGAATGTTTCATCAGATTTTCTGTCTGATGAAAGTCAGTAATATCAAGTTGTTGAACATGCATGGAGTTTGCTTTTTCGATTACAGTTTGTAAGGCACCTGCTAATTGGTTTTGTGGCCCATAAATTATCACTTTCACTGATTGATCAGTTGCTGGTGGTAATTCTAGTACGCAACCTGTTGTTTCAAGTATTTCATGAAGATTAGCACTATTTGGACCAATTAGATATCTATGTTGACGTTTTGGAATGTCAACATCAAGAGCATACGTATTCATTTTCTATATGTTTTGAATATATATGAGTATGATAATTTCAAAAAAAAAAAATTTAAAAATGTATAAAAAAAGCTTAAAACAATCTACCAAATCTTCATAAAGATCCTCAATCATTTTACTTGCAACCTTAACTGAATTTCCATCACCAGTGATGGTAATATAATTTTTTTTTATATCGGCAAATGTGGTGTTGAGGTTGTCAAAATTGTAAAAAGGTACATGAATTTTTGTACCAGTATCAGTACTAATCTTATTTATACGTTGATTATGTGTACCAGCAATCAATGGGTAAAACGTATTTTCAATATGTCTAATATAATGTATTCTTTTTGTTGCACTCTATATAATCATAACCCATTCAATCACTCAATTAATAAAAAAAATCAAAACAAATGAAATTTATGATTAAAAAAGCATAATCATAATCATAAATAAATAAATAAATCATAACGTACCATAGATTTTACAATGTTTTGGATTTCAACTCCTGCTTTACAAATAGCCCACATCTCACCAAAAATTATTACATCCATCATTTCCTCATTCAATTCAGACTTTACTGATTCTTTTTTTGGATTGTTGGGAAGTGATGGTATTGTGATAGATGCACCAGTTGAATTGGAAATTGATTGTATGAGTGTACCATAAGGTCCTAATAAACAAGAACGGGCCGATGCAGGCACTTGAACAGTGATTCTGCCCTAAACATAAAAAATTCAACCAATTGAGTAAATTGTTAAATTATAAACCATCCATATATATAACTTTAATGCGCACGCACACAGCACACACAAAAAAAATGATGATACTTTAAGGCCAAACTTATCAGTTAAAATATCTTTTGCATTAGCAACATCTTTATCTTTTCCCTCAATTAAAAAAGTACCGATAGAACCTTTTGCATTTGCTTGCTCCATCCCATTTAATTGATAGTTGATTTTTTCATTGACCGATTAATTGACCAAATATAATAATATTCAGTGATAATCGATGTCTTGTGTAACTGGATTGAAAATTTCTCACGTCCATTCATTTAAAATGAAAGAAAACCCTTCAGCCACCATAACAGGAGAAAGCAATAATACATATTTTAAAGAAAAGCAAAGTAAAGAGTGATTCTAAAAAGTCAAGTTGGGATGAAAATATGATCCATTCTTATGGTGAAACATAATGAAAATAGATTTCCTGTTTTGTCAAAGTTAGTTACTATGCACCTACAATGTCCACTCCAAGTAAGAGATTATTTAGTCAGCTGGAAATACAATAACCTCAAGAAAAAAACGTGAACCACTTTTATTTGTTTTTTTGAAAATTTTTGATAATTTTGATAAAATGTAAAATGATTAATATTAATAAATTTAAAATTCATAGTTAATTTGGGGCATGCTGCAACAAAACCAAAGTGAACATTGGTGTTACCAAGAATTTCAGGGATCAATAGTGCTTGTTTAACATCACAATTGTATTACTGGTGTAATGTGTCATGATATTTGTCTAGACAAAAATAGCTAATATGAAACTCATTTACATTAGGTCTACCATGGAACCCATAAATTACAGCACAATTAGAAGTATTTTGAAGAAGGAACAAGGTGAAAAAATTGCTCAAAATAAATGATACTCAGGCACTAGAAGCTTACCTAAAATAATGAATGTGTCACCGGAATGCGAATTGGACCTTAATTCGCTGATCAATAACCCTGAAAATCTGGAGTAATATTTTATATCTTATTTTTATATGGGGCATACTGCAACAAAACCAGACAAAGTGAATATTAATAGCAATAATTATGATGATTTTTTATTAACCAATACACAATTTACAATTATTTCATGATATTATAATGCAAATAAGGAGTAAAATCGTCTTCACTGGTGTAATATAGTACCTGACATTACAAATGCCTCCACTATTAAATTCTATTAATAATTTTTTTTTGATAAAAAGATCTTGATTTGTTGTTATTTCATGATACTATAAACGCAAATAAGGAGTAAAATCGTCTTCAGCTGGTGTAATATAGTACCTGACATTACAAATGCCTCCACTATTAAATTCTATTAATAGATTTTTTTTTGATAAAAAGATCTTGATTTGTTGTTGTGAAAATATTGTTAATTTTATCAAATCTTTAATTAGAAATAAACTAGAAACAGGTCTTGTAACCTTTATTTCTATTTTGTTATTTTCAGCCTATACAATAAACAAAAATATTTTAGATATGTGAATATTCTAAAAAATGATTAAAAATCAATAAAAATGATTACATTATCTGCGGTGTGGGTTGGATTCAACTTTATTTTACTATCTATGTTGCTCCAATAACTACTTTTTGCAACAAATTGGATCATATCTTCATTAATTTTTATTTTTACTTATTTAAAAAAAAAGTATCTTAATTAATAATAGTAATAATATTCACAACAAAATAAATTATATAATAATAAAAATTACCAAAATCGGCACTAATGATTGTCATATCATGAAAAATTTTTTGGAATTCTGCTGACGGCAAAGATGCCATTGCGTCATAATTTTTCATGACAAAATGACTTCTGTATTTTTGGATATACGTACTCAATGTCATGTCATGTTTATCGAGAACATATTCATTATTATCGAATTTTATTTTCCATATCATATCGCCATTCATTAATGCATTTAGTCTACTTGTAGTTTTACCCTAGCGCAATTATCATATAAATATCTAAAAATTCAGCTATCATAAGAATGACCTCATCAGGTAAACTTAAAAAATTTTTGGTAGTAGGAGTAGATGATGTGATGCTACAAAAATGATGGTGAGGATGACAACAGTGTAGAGCATAATATAATATTAATTATCATTCTTCTAATAAAACTAGAGTGACGACCACCACCACCATCCTTAAAACACTTACCCCGCGAAATTTTCTCGATCACTGGTTTTTTTTCTTTTATTTAAAAAAGACATTGATGAAGGTGTACCAAATTCAGAAGCAGTATTTAAGTTGTCACTTATTAAAAAGTTGTTTATATTAATTATATTTGTTGCTGAATTACGTTGCTTTTGTTGTTGCTGAATAGTTTGTGGAAATGAAATTCTTGGGGAAAGTAAAGAAACAAATGAATTATTATTTGTCCGACAAACGCGTACACATTAATTATTTATTATTGGCACTTGGTGTTGCACAGATTTTTTTTTTTTTTTTCTTGGAAAAACAATTTATTTTTTGACAGAGTCCAAGGTGACAAAACGTGAGTGTTGTTGTTTGGTTCTCCTAAAGAAACGTGTATTGATATTTTTATTTTAGTTTATAAATATTTTAATTGGAATCAAAATGCGGAGCAGATCATTGCTGGGGTAATTATAAGAGCTTCATCAACAACGAACGTTTGGTATTTGGCTTTTCGTAATCAATAATATTAATATTAATTATAATATTATAATTACAAGATGTCAAGGCAGCACACCATTGAATATGAAACATTTCGATATGCGATGTTTGATTATCGAAAATTGGCAAGTGTTGAAGCACTTGAACACATTACAGTCATTCTCACATCTTCCTCGTGTACAAAAGGCTAATCTGACCAAGATTCCCCCGATGATACAACGATGCTACAGAATTCCAGGGGGGGGCCACATGGTCCTGGAGTTTACCAAGACTGCATCAATCATCAATGATGCTTTCACTAATCTTCCCAGACCAGAGATGGCTGCTGGCATGCTAGCCGAAAAGTTACCTGAAATGATCCCTACTCTAGAGTAAGGATGGCACTGTGACCAAGTCGCAACTCTACTGATGAATTGTGCCATGTAAACATCCAGATCCATCAAAGCAATGAGAATCTGCAGCTCGTTTCAAGTGTAGGAGGTTGCAATTCAGAGCGGGGTTTGTGGCCCTGAAATTGCATTTGGGCTCTGATGTTAAGAGGAAAGTTATAAAATAGTGTTTGTTTTGTATAATAATTTTCCTAAATGCTCTGTTTTTTTGATACTAACCAATTTAATAATTTTGAGTAAGGAACTAGATGGGTTTTTGCCCAACCAGTCTTCTGTCCTATAGATTAAAATTATTGCATGATTATATACATCTTTGTCAGCAATATGGCCAACAATGAAAAAGTTATAAAATGGTTCAGATTTTGTTTGGTATGTTACATTATAAATTAATCATTTTCATAAATTCTCTAATTTTTATTTGACCAACTGAATTTGTTTTTCGAACGGGGGTAGGGTTGTTGGCAAGTAGGCATGCCACCAACAAGACAGCAACCTAAGACTCAAAACTCTGAATTCAGGAAAAATCCAAAACAGCAACCTGGGTTGCAACCTCCGAGTTGCTGAATTTTTATACTAGAGGGTGATAACACCAAGCAATTATCACACAAATGCTGATCCTCATCAGTGATCAATGCTCATATGGCAACAACCAAGCCTGGTCCGAGAGGGAGATAAGGGAAGTTTTGTCCAAAGCCTTCCAACATTGGGGACCTTCACCTGTGGAAAAAAATTCATAGTTATGAGGCGTGTGAAAGCACCCAACCACATGTTTGTGATAGGAAATTTAATTAAGTCTGACACCTGTGATCAATATCAGATTTATTATTCATAAGGAACTACAATTGATAATCAGGAAAAAATAATTTATTTTGTGAACCCCAGAGATCTGGGTAGACTAAGGTTGTGGGCGAAACCTCTTAATGACTGTCGAAACTCTGTCGAAACTCTAATGAACAATTAATGTGTAACC